AATGAGAATTACCCCCATGATGGCATACCATTTGCAAAAGAAGACAACCCAAGGTATTGCAAATGGGGTATGTCCAGTCTTTTTTTAGTAACCACTTGGTCACAAACACTGGCCAAAATTAGCGTTCAATTTAGTTTTTTTACTTTTTTCACACACAAACAAATATGAATGCTTACTTTGGCCAGTGTTTTCGACTAAGTGGCTACTAAAAAAGACTGGACATACCCCATATTGAATACCCTGGGTTGTCTACTTAAAAAAAATATGTACATGTGGGGTGTTATTCAGAGATTTATGACAGATAATAGTGTTACAATGTCACTATTGATAAATTTTTAAAATGTATGTTTTGAAACCGCAATATCCTACTTGTACCTATAGCCCTATAACATGCAAAAAAGCACGTAAACACTAGGTATTTTTAAACTCAGGACAAAATTTTGAATCTATTTAGCAGTTTTTTCATTCGCTTTTGTAGATGAGTAAAAGATTTTTCAAGTAAAAGTCAAAAAACATGTATTTTTTTCAATTTTTCATCAGATTTTTGTATTTTTTTTTAAATTAAAATACATGAGATTATATAAATAATGGTATGTAAAGAAAGCCCCTTTTGTCCTGAAAAAACAATATATAATTTGTATGGGAACAGTAAATGAGAAAGCAGAAAATTACAGCCAAACACAAACACCACAAAAGTGTAAAAATATGCCTGGTCGCAAATGTACAACATCGCAAAAACAGTCCAGTCCTTAAGGGGTTAAAGTAGTGCTGAGATCGAGTATAGATACATACTGTCACAACAATCATTGCATTATTGATACTACTCAATATTAAGATAGGTTAGCATAATATACTCCTATACTCCTTGGACACAGTAGTCCATATCATACTACCGTGCTAGTGTGTAGTAAGTGTTTATCTATACGTATCTTTGCCCCTAAACTGTGATAGTTGTCTGACGCCATTACACATATTTCCACTATTTAGTGTTCTTCTAAGAACTCCATTAAGGCGTTAGTTTACTACTTTCACTAGTGGCTATTATAGCCATCACATTATACATTTTGTTTTATTCTATGTGAATATCTATTATTTGTGTTATTTATTGTAATAGTATTTTTTGTTTCTATTTCTTTTTTGTTGCCAGTTCTTGTTCTTCTTAGTCCCCATTAGTTGGACTATTTTGTGATGGGATTCCAGCATGGTCAAAATTTAGTAGGCCAAAATCTCCATGTGGCATATGTGTATGTTGTGTCAGTTAGTCAGCTACACGTAGCTAGGATACTGTCATCAATGTACTGAGCATGTGCAGGAACTGAAATTGCACTTATTTCCTTTGTCTTGGATGGGCCATGTGGTTTGACTAGATGTACAAGTCTATATTCTGCTCATTGATTGGTTAAAGGTATATGTGGGTGTAGCTATTAATGGGAGGAGTTATAGTGCTATATAAGGAATGTACACTATGTGTTGGTCCCTCAGATCATTTGGAACAGGAGTTCTTCTGAGACCCGATCGGTAATGTGAATAAAGGTCTCTTACTTTCTGAAGACTTGTGTCCATATCTCTGTGTTTGGCTTCTGCATGCTTACACTGCAACATTTCTATTAGACCTATTAAATGATAAGTTAACCCACAACTAGGAGGTTTTGCAACTATAGGCTCCTCTCTTTCCTTTTGTCTTTTCTTTCTTGTGAACAGAGAATAGAGTCAACCTCATTTCTCACAGGTAACCTCCAATAGGAGTGCTTTTTCGCACAGTGCTGCCACATGTGCTGCCACATGTGCTTTTTGTCCCCAATGTTCCTCTGAGAAGCATTGAATTGGACATTTTCAAACATCAGCATGAAGATCAAACATCTGCAGCGATTTCTAGTTGGCACCGAAAAAAACGTAAGTAAAACCTGTATATTCAATTTTGAAGTAGGTAGAATCTAAAAAAAGAGAATGTTATAGCGTTAGGAATATAGGCTTGATAGAAAAAAAAAGACAATGCTTTAGTTGCTTGGGATCCCCTCCCTTTCCCCTCCCCAATACCCAGTCATTATTCCTGCAATCTTACATTATTTCTCTTCATTTCTTCTTACTATTATTTTTCTCTCTTGCTCTGTATGCCTTTTCCACAAAGAGGTGTCTTTGAACAGTTAAATATTTCCTACCTACTATTTGTCACATGTTGTTTACAGTGTCTATTTGTTTACCTTCAAAATAAAGCTTCTTTAATAAGAAAAAAAAAAACCCCCAAAAAACAGCAACAACAAGACACCACAATTTTAGTACAGTTAATAGTTGCCAACTGTCCCATTTTTGCGGGGACAGTCCTGGCAAGCTGGAGTCTGTCCCGGGCAATTTACTCTCCCTGGACAGTCCCGGCAACTTGCTGGGTCGTGTGCTTTTATTATATTCCCTCGGACGGTAACAGCCTGTTACAGCGTGAGGGAATTCAGAAGAGAGCTGCTAACTGTTGGGAGATGTTGGAGAGTGATGCTGGAGGCTATAGAGAGGTTCTGGGGGCTGAATTGAGGCTGCTGGGGCCAGAGAGAGCACTGAGAGTCTCCAATTTCCCAGCAGCTTCCCCGGCACACAGGCTACTGCTCCTCCTCACGTACGCAGGCTCTGCCCCCCTCTCCACCCACATATGTTAGCTCCGCCTCACAAACAAAAGCCCCGCCCCTGCTAAGCAGCAGACCTTGCTGCAGGAGGAAGAGGCCCAAGATGGCCACCTGTCCTTCCAGTAACAGCCTCCAGTGACAGGTAGGCTTGATATACTCAGCCTTGTATGCGTGTGTGTGCCTGCTAGTGAGAAAGCTTGTGTGTGTGTCAGTGAGCTTGTTTGTAGTGAGCTTGTGTTGTGTGTCAATGAGCTTGTTTGTAGTGAGCTTGTGTGTGTCAGTGAGCTTGTCTGTAGTGAGCTTGTGTGTGTCAGTGAGTTTGTCTGTATTGTGTGTGTGTGTCAGCGAGCTTGTCTGTAGTGAGCTTGTGTGTGTCAGTGAGCCTGTTTTGAGTGAGCTTATATGCAGGGTCATGTTTCCACATTTGCCCGGGGGCTCCATAAGCATGAGGGCCCCACCGTAATGCCCATGAGCCCAGGCAGACAAAGGAGACCTGCTATCTTGCTGTGGTCAAAGATCTCCCTGACCTGCCAAAAGGACCTTCGTTAGTGATAGGGAGATCTGTGCATAGCGTTGCCGCATGTGAAGACAGCCTGCAGCCAGAGGAGCTGCAGGCTGTAGACATCTCAACACCACTGGACCACCAGGGCACAGCACCCCTTACACACACCACTGGACCACCAGGGCACAACACCCCTTACACACACAGCACCCCTGCACAGCACCCTTACACACACAGCACCCCTCACACACAGCTCCTCTGACACACATACAAAGTGCCTCACACACACACAGCACCCCTCACACAAAGCACCCTTTAAACACACACACAGCACCCCTCTCACACACACACACAGCACCTCTGACACACATACACAGCACCCCTCACACACTTTAGCACCTCTGACACAAAGTGCCACTTACACACACAGCATCCCTCACACACAGTGCCTCTAACACACATACACAGCACCCATCACACACTCAGCACCCCCCCCCACACACACACACGCAGCACCCCTCACACACTGCACCCGTTATACACACACACACACACACACACTGCACCTCTCACACCCACACAGCACCCTTACACACAAACACATACACCCCTCACTGCAGTTTGTGTGTATTCAGCTGTCTGGGTGTATTCAGTAGTATCTGTGTGTATATAGAGCAGTGCGTGTGTGTATTCAGCAGTTTGTATTTATTCAGCAGTCTGTGTGTGTGTGCAAAGCAGTCTGTGTGTATTCAGCAGTCTCTCTGTGTGTGTTCAGCAGTGTGTGTATTCAGCAGTCTGCGTATGTATTCAGCATTCTGTGTGTATTCAGCAGTCTGTGTGTGTGTATTCAGCAGTCTCTGTGCATGTGTTTGTGTATGTGTATTGTGATGAACTGAACCTTGTCACTGGTTCTTGGAGGAGCCTGCTGGCCAGCCTCTTATGCTGTGACTCTAGTCCAGTCTTTTTTAGTAGCCACTTAGTCACAAACACTGGCCAAAATTGGCGTTCAAATTAGTCTTTTGCATTTTTCACACACAAACAAATATTAACACTCATTTTGGCCAGTGCTTGTGACCAAGTGGCTACTAAAAAAGACTGGACATACCCCATTTGCAATACCTTGGATTGTCTACTATTGCAAATTAGTGATGTACCGAACGGTTCGCCGGCGAACGGTTCCTGGCGAACATAGCATGTTCGCGTTCGCCACGGCGGGCGAACATATGCGCGGTTCGACCCGCCCCCTATTCGTCATCATTGAGTAAACTTTGACCCTGTACCTCACAGTCAGCAGACACATTCCAGCCAATTAGCAGCACACCCTCCCTAGTAGACCCTCCCACCTCCTGGAAGGCATCCATTTTAGATTCATTCTCAAGCTGCATGCTTAGTAAGAGGAGGGAAAGTGTAGCTGCTGTTCATAAGATAGGAAAAAGCATAGCTAGGTTAGGGATAAGGGTATGCTTTTTTTTGATTTTTTTTTTCTATGTAATGTAAATGCACTTAGTTGTCTGCCACTGCTGCCAGCTTCTGTGTCAGTCTCACAGTGCCCATTTCCCCAGTCAGTGCCACCAATTACATCTGGTGTCACAATAGCTTGGATTTAAAAAAACAAAACACTTTTTCACTGTTATAGATTGAATAGCAGTCAGTGTCCTTAAAGCGGGTGTGTTACGCTAACAGTGGATACGGTGACCAGTGCCACCAATTAGATCTGGTGACACAAAGCTTGGATTTCTAAAAACAAAACACTTTTTTCACTGTTATAGATTGAATAGCAGTCAGT